ACTGAATTAAAATTTCATTAATCTGAAATTTAGATACAATTTATCATAAATGCTCCAGTCGGATGGTTTTGCATCATCCGATTGGAACGATAATTGTATCGTTCTAATAGAACGATAAAAAAAATTATTTTAAAGGAACGATAATGAAATCATTTCGAAAGAATGATGAAAAAATCGTTCTAAAGGAACGATGATAAAATCGTTTTGAAGAAACGATGAAAAAATCGTTCTAAAGGAACGATGATGAAATCGTTCCGAAAGAACGATGAAAAAATCATTCTAAAGGAACGATAATTGTATCATTCCAATAGAACGATAAAAAAATCGTTCTAAAGGAGCGATAATGAAACTGTTCTGAAAGAACAATGAAAAAATCATTCTAAAGGAACGATAATTGTATCATTCTAATAGAATGATAAAAAAATTGTTCTAAAGGAACGATGATGAAATCATTCCGAAAGAATGATAAATATATCGTCTCTTTGGAATGATTCCTATCGTTCCTTTGGGACGATTTCTATCGTTCCTTTAAGGACGAATTTTATCATCCTTTTGGGACGAATCCTATCGTCCTTTTGGGACGATTCCTATCGTCCTTTTGGGACGATTCCTATCGTTCCTTTGGGATGATTTCTATCGTCTCTTTAGAGACGAATGTATCGTTATTTTGGGACGATTTCTATCGTCTCTTTGGAAATGAATGTTCATTCCTTTAAGGACAATTTCTATCATCTCTTTAGGAACGAATGTATCGTTCCTTTGGGATGATTTCTATCGTCTCTTTAGGGATGAATGTATCATTATTTTGGGACGATTTCTATCGTCTCTTTGGAAATGAATGTTCGTTCCTTTAAGGACGATTTTTATCATCTCTTTGTGACAATTACTCTTGGAATGTTTTTATTATTTTCATAAAAATCGGCGTAATAGATTTCGACCAGTGAGATACAGTCGATTTGTTACCAAATCTTGAGTCTTACTGAAATTTTGCTGAATATTATAACCGAAAGGTCTTAGAGCCGAAATAATGCTAAATTATGTGTGATTTAACAAATTACTATTGATTTTTGTAACTTGAGCCGAATTTTTGTCAAATCACATGACCGAATCAGCTAAATTTTTGACAAAAGGTCTAATACCGAAATAATGCTAAATTATGTGTGATGTAACAAATGACTATTGATTTTTGTAACTTAAGCCGAATTTTGCCAAATCACATGACTGAATTGGCTGAATGTTAACCGAATTGTATTAATGCCGAATGAAATGATTTCGACTAGTATGATACAGTGGGTATTCCTATATTTAATTTCTTCTGGAGACAAAGAGCAAAGATTGACATGAACAGAATCATTCTGGACAAAATGACTCCACACTTAATAAAATAGTTCAATACATTTAGGGTTTTCGTAGGTAATGTAGGCATGTTGTCACATACCTTTTACTGTCATTTTAAAGTCAGTAACAGTTCCATATTTGGCGAAAACTTGTTTGATATTGGCAGGCTTCATTTGTAGAGAAATATCGGTAACATGAATAGTTCTCTCGTTAAATTGCATATCAGCTTTGTATTGGGAGAAATCACAGAAAGTGTCGATCTTAAGATCAGAAATAGTCACGTGTAAGGCTGCGGCAGCCGCGTCTGACATCGCAAAGTAAACAATTGCAGAACATGTTAAATTGATGTGACGAACTGAAACTTCTCAAAAATCGTCATTTTGAGCAAAAACATTATTAATAGTAAGAATAATTTTGCTGTTATTCCTTTCTTTGGGTGTAAACTTAATATGACTGGCAACTGCAAAGAGGATAGCTTTGGTGATAACTGTGAAATCTTTTAGGTCTTCTTTCATATTATCATCTTCGAGATATTCATCAAGGTCCAAAAGTTTTGACCTATTTTTGATTGAAGAAAAGTTTTCAGGAATATCATCAACTTTGTTGTAATTATTATTGTTGTTATTCGAAGACGAAATAACTGGTGAAATTTTGTTAGGAGTGGCAATTTTAGATACTTCAAAAAATTCAAACTCCATTATTTTTTCTGGTAGCAAACCAAAAACTTCTTGGACAATTTCTAAATCTAGGTTGGTGGGAACAGAAGTTAAGGTTGAAAAGGACGAAAGAGCTGGTATAGAAATAACAGCTTCCTTTGGAGCTTTTGGAGTGATGTATGGAATGAACTTTGGGTCACTATTTTTCTGTTTCGCAGCATTTTTACACATCATAACTCTCTCGCGTAGCAAAGAAGGTGGGATAAAACAAAAGGAACTTTCTTTATACTGATTTATTAATTAATTTTTTATTAAAAATGAACTTTTAAATTTTTTATTTTTCTTATGAAAATTTGGTTTTGTAAAATAGGGGAGAGAGTTTTTTTTGTAAATTTTTTTATTTATTTTGTAATACTTAATGAGTATTACATTAGATAATGCTAAAAATAATAATAGATTTATTTATTTATTAGAAAATTGGACAAATCAAAAAGAATTTTTTTTAAAAAAAGAATCTGAACATTTTAGATGTTTTGCACATATAATTAATTTAAGTGTACAAGAAGCATTAAGTTGTTTAAATGAAGAATTAATTCAGGTTAATTTTTTATTTATAAAAAAAAAGTTTTTTATAATATATATAGTTAAAATTTTTAAAATTTTTAATTTTATAGCTTAGACAACTTATTACAAAAATTCGTTGTTCTCCTTAACAATGTAAAAATTAAGTAATACATGTAAATCTAATGAAATTAATGATTTAAAACCAATTTTAGATGTATCAACTAGATGGAATTCAACTTATAATATGATAATAAGAGCTTTAATTTTAATAATTTTTTATAATAATTTTATATTAAATTTTATTATAATTATTTATTTTAGGTTCTTGAATCAGTTGCATTTCTTGATTATGACCTTAAAAAATTAATACTTACTGAAAATCAATGGAATAATCTTAAACAAATACAATTATTTCTTGGATTTTTTAAAGAAGTAACAATTATAATATCTGGATTTACTTATTCTACTATTTCTATAGTTATACCATTATATAATTGTCTTATTGATCATATAGAAGATACTATTAATAATATAAATATAATAGATTCAATTATTATAGCTACTAACAAATGTAAAGATAAATTATTAATACAGTCATACCTCTCTATAGCGAATTTTTATATAACGAATTTTTTGGACAACTATATTAAATTTACCCTCG